TTTCAATATCAAGTCCATGGAAAGCCAAGGATTGGACGCCAGTCTGTCATTTGGATAGATTCACTGTTACCGAGTGTTTTCAGAGTTGCTGGAAAACTTATAGCAGATGCGCACAGTCAGTCACTTCACTTGGACTAGCCATCAGAATATCGTCCAGATAGGAATAAACAAAGTCGAATCCATACTAGACATCATGAAAAAGCGTTGAAATATTTGGCCGGAGTTGCGTAAACCGAAAAGCATGCGGAGAATCTCAAAAAGACCAAAAAGTGTAATGACTGCTTACTTTGGGACTTCACCAGGATGTATAGGGATCTGTTGATACGCACGTGTCAGATCCAGCTTGTTGAGAGCCGTTGATCCTTTAAAAGATGATGTCGAGTCGTGCATGTGCGGGGCTGGGTAACGGTTAGGGACTGCTTGAGCGTTGAGCCTTAAGTAGTCACCACAAGGCCTTCAGTTCATTCCACTGCTCCTAGGCATCATATGTAAACGTGAAGACCATGGGCGGTTTGACGGCCTGATTATTCTCATTTTGAGTATGTGTTCAAGCTAAGGCTCAACAGCATGCAGTTTCTCTGGGGACAACCGACATTGCTTGGCGAAAACAGGAGGGTCAGCAGTCATGAGTCGATGAGTGACACTGGAGGTCACGCGAGAAACAACACTACTAGGTTTGAAAGTGCCAGAAAAAGTTAGGTTATGGTGGAGTATAGACTTTGAAAAACCTCGCCTGGTTTACTAGCTCGCTGGTTTCCTAGCTGGCTCCATGCTCGAGCAAAGAAGAGGGTGTGGGAATGGGGCTAGCGACCCTACCCCAAAAAATCAGTCAAACTGCTACACAAACTTCAGCGTGCAAGAAAAATATTGAAAATACAAAAACACAAAAAACAAACTTATTCTTTGCTGGAATCGGAGAGGCGAAGTGACACAGCAGGCTGGTAAAAGCCTTCGAGAAGCCAGACAGTCGGCTGATGTCTCTTCTCTTAATGAAAGCAAGAGCGAGAATTGGAACGTGGAGTGTCCATACAATGTACGAGACTGGAAAGGCTACTCAGGCAGCCAAAGAAATGAGGAGATGTGGCACAGAAGTGCTCGCAACCTGTGAGAGCAGATGGAATGGATGTAGACCGTCAACATTTTCAACTGGAGAGTCAGTAATCTACTCCAATCACCCAGATGACAACCACGAACACACACATAGAGTGAGTGGCTACCATGATGCCGGTGGGAACCAACATGATCCAGGATCATGACATCAATATTCAACTCAAATGGGAGGAAGGTTAAAATCATCCAATGCCACGCAAAATGCTACAAACAACGCGAAACAAGAGAAGGGAGATTTTTACAGACAACTACAACCAGTAATGCACAACATCCCAAATGATGGCAATAAACTGCCTATGGACGACATGAATGCCAGCTAACTGGAAGCGGATAATACAGGAGGGGAACTCATCATGAGTCAAGACGCCTTCAGAGGAATAAATGAGAATGGAGAACTCTTCGCAGAATTCCGCGATTTCAACGATTTGGTCATCGGAGGCAGCGCGCAGAAGCACAAGGATATACACAAATCAGCGTGGATTTCGCCTGATGGACACACCACAAACCAGATAAATTTCATCTCAATGTTGTTCAAGGAAGTGGAGAAGCAGCCTGATGGATACATAGTCGAGAAGGCAAGCAGATGTGATCTCACACCATCATCTAATCCAAGGAACCTACAAGATGAAGCTGAAATCCTTCAGAACAACTGGAGATAGGCCACAATTCAGGTTCAAAATTCAGAAACTGAAGGACAAAACTACAGGGAATGCCTTAACTACGGATCAGATCAGATCAAAGTCGAAGGGAGACACTGCGTGGCATCATTTGTGAAACCTGCGTGGAATATCACCGGAAGTAACTCTCTGTAGGTGATGTTCAAGGAAACGTGTACAACTGATCATGGAAGAAGGAAGAGACAAGACAGGGAATAGCTCTCAATACATACCCAGGAGCTAAAGGAAGAGAGGGGAGGAGAATGGTGGAAGAGAAGATGACTTAATGCAAAGATGGACGAGAGAAGGGGAAGCTAAGTTCAATGTACGCTGCACTGAATAAAGAGAGAAGTGAGGAAGCTAGCTAGGAGAGACAGAAGACAATTTTATGAGACACCGGTCGGAAACTGAAGCAGAATAGGCAGGCCTCAAGTAAAAGGGACCTCAGAGCACTGCATCAGGTAACCAGGTTTCTATCTGACAAGAGATCAATGTGGATGCAACCCTTAAAAGATGTTCAAGAGAACCTGATGACAAGGAGAAGGAACGAATAAAACAGAGGGCTAATCACATTAAAGGACTCTTGAACCGGCCATCACCTGCAACTAGCTGATGAACAAACCACCACGAACAGAACCGTCTGCCTGTGGACACCAGTCCCCCAACGAAAGCAGAAATCTAGAACGCAATCAAGCTACTCAAGCCCAGTTGGGAAGGCGGCAGGGCCAGATGGAATTCCCCTGGGGCACTGAAAACATACCCAGAGACTACAACAGATATGCTCACGCCATTATCGTAAAGGGTTTGGAGGGAGGAGAAGGTACATACTGATTGGAAGAAGAGGTACCATGTCAAACTACCAAAGAAGAGCGACTTACGCCTCTGCAATTAGTGACGTGGAATAATGCTCTTGTCCACACCAAGTCGTGTCATCCTAAGGACAATTAAAGATGCAATGGGTGCAGAATTCCATGCCCATGGAACAAGCTGGATTTAGGAAAGACAAATCATATGCTAATCAAATTGCAACTCTACGCATCGTCATCGAACAAATCGAAGAATGGTAGTCAAAACAGGACGTTAACTTCATCGACTTCGAGAAGGCCTTCGACAGCGTTGACTGAGAAAAAGTTTGAAAACTGCTTCAGCACTACGCCGTGCAGTCTTCATCAGCCCCATCCGACAGCTACATGATAGCGCCATGTGTCAGGTGATCTATAACGAAAAAGTCAGCGAGGCGTTCCAAGTGGATACATGGGTAAGACAAGGCTACCTGCCTATTATCACCTATGGTATTCTAAATTGTGGTGGATTGGTTTATGTGTGAGAATGTACATGGGGGCGAGAAGAAAGGAGTACGCTGGACGTGGAGATGTGTTATTGAGACTCGATGTTCCACTCGGAACCCAAGAGAACAGTGACAAAATAAGAATGAACTTGAATGTGAGGGGTTGAATACACCGACCTGAGGAAGGGTTTATGGGTGGCAGTACCGGAAACGGAGGGTCGCGTCGTAGAATCAATCAGCTCACGCTTTCCAGCATCTACCAGCAACTGATAGTTCTGCAAGAGATTCATACCACTAATGCCAGTAGCTGCATCTGCCAAGAAGTGAACCCAACGAAAAGAACTCGTGTAATTCTCATTATTTTCTTTGCTCCAAATGGCGTTCTCTTAACTCAGTTGAAGCCATTCTAGCACCAGTCCCAGTGCAGGAAGTAATTAAACGTATGCTAGAGCAATGACGTCAAAATGTATCAAATGGGATCTGCCGTATATCTGAAGGTGCGTTAGATAACATCATAGTAAGTGGGGCTTTCCAGCCCTCATGTCCCAGGATGTTGAATGCTGCAGCATCAGAAACCCAGATATTTCGCACTGATAAGAAGAAACCGATTCAGCATGATAAAATCTGTGTTACTGTCGGACGATGATAATTTGTGATGATTACACAAAAGTACTTCAACCAATCCATTTGCAATCTATACATCCCAAGGTATTTCCGGTATTGAACACGTATTACACAACGAAGTGAATTGCCAAAAATGACCGCATAATAACTGAAAATCAACAAGAAGGTACTCATTAAAGTGGGATCACCGATCTGTCCTCAAGGATCAAGCTGAATAAAACGTATTTCGGAATGTCAGTCACTTTACGGCACAAGCTTAATTTCGGGCAAACAAAAATATCAACAATAACAAAATAGCAATTTGCTGTCATCAGCTTAGAACCTAATAACAGGAAAGAGACGAATGAGGAATGAGATCAGGTCAAAGATAGGGGCAAATAATAAAGATTAAGTCCTAGGAAGACGTCTCGCATCAAAACAGAAATACAAAAGTCATTCGCGAAGGATAAAATTTGCGAAATTGGTGGAAAATGTTTGAAACAGATAAGAATACTGCCGAGAGACTGTTTTGGAGGTATATTCAGGTCATTTATTCTATCATAAGGCCATAAGACAACAAATGCCACACGTTAATAAACATTCTTCGTAGTAGGTACCTGAAAATATTGATGTAAGCACTGGTTTTAAAGCAATAACTTCACTAATATCAGCAATTACAGCACAAGCCAGATGCTATAATAACCAGAGGACTTCACTTCTGCCGGACCAAAAGTACCTTTAAGGATATTTAACAACAGAATTGAGGATCGTGGTTATTATTGCCTTCAATCTCACAACTGTTACTGAAAAAGAGATTACGTAGTAAAATATTATGCATCAGCAGTGAAAATTTCACCTCCCTTTGAATTGTGAAGTGCCCCAAACTTAATATCAAACTTATCAAAGCAAGAACAACAGTTCTTGCCGGATAAGATGGTGCCCTTAATTACTTTGCTTACCGCTCATCAGCTGCATACAGTTTGAAATAATGTATGGAGAAATTTTAATAAACTTGCAAATGTTACATTGCGTCAGTTGATAGGAGGTTCTTACTTAATAAAAGATGTTCGGAAAGTCACACTTGCATAGACTTTACCCAGGGAGTTCAATTTTAAGCAAAAATAAGTTTTTGCATGCAATGGTAAAAGAGTTGTATGATTGAGACAAGAGGTAAGACGATGAGTAACTGATAAATGGCAAACAATGTTTTACACAAATTACCATGTGACTCAGCCTAAATAAACCATCAGTATTAAGATCTCTAATTTCAGGGAGCTTCTCTGTCGAAACTTCTTTATGTCGCATAGTAATTAAAGGCCATCAATATCTTTGTTTTAGTTGCTGTTCGTTTAACTCGCGCGAAGAATTGATACAACTCAAGGTGTTCACATATATTCATTGTCATGACAGCTTCTCCTGAGCAGGTGGACAATTCTTTTCAAAGTAAGTTATAAGGCGCTTTATATCCCTTAACTATTCGTCTTGGCATTATTTATTAATTCTGATTCCTATTGTCGTTCTACATTGTCTTGTTTGTAAAATCAAATTTTCCACCAAAACTGAAATACTGATCACATGCTGCATTAGTTTAGTTTCTTTTCGTTGGTGTATACCAGATTTGGTTGTAGTTCCTGTTTCATGTAGGCTTTAATCAGCCTCACCTTGGAGACTGTCGACTTGTTCCCGAATATGCCAATTGAGTGGAAAGTTGGTAAAGTTCGTCAGAGCTCTCAACTTTCGATGGAACTACGTTACACTAAGAGATGCAGGTTTGTCAGTAGAACTTGATGCTCAGGAATTCCAGGACTGTAATCTAATGACTAGTGTATACATTTTCACACTTACATTCTGTGCTTCTAATAGTGACTGAACTGAAAGGTTAGGAAAGCATAGGCAGGATTCTTTCATCCCTGAGTCTATGCTGAAGTAGTAGCCCTCAGTCAGTTTTATTCTATAACTATAGTATTTACATATTGGCTCATCTTTGCAATAAAGAGGCTTTTGACGTAGGTTGTTATCAGTGATGATTTCTCAGAAAGTTATTCAGTACTGAGAATTTAGTGAGCAGCGCATCTTGGATCAAGTTTACGTGGCTTCCTGCTCTTTTGACACGATATTAAGCAACGACCTAGGGGAGAATGGCATCACGTGTTTCAATGGTGACTAGAGTACACACGGTGTTTGAAATTCACCTAACTCACTTGGAATGGACAACTGCGTGGTATATCGAATAGTCATTTCGCGAAATTCTGTCTAGTCTAATGACTCTGTTGTGAAAGCCAGACATTTCGGTATGATTGCTCGTTGTGAGGGTATGCCTAAAACAAACTGTGCAAGTAAGGTACTTTGAGTCAGCTGTAGGGAGTCTCATGCTTCTTGTAAACGATGAGTACTACTTTCTGATCACCATTTTCTATCGACACAATAACAAGGTTAACGAAATTAGTCGTGAATATAATTCTTTTTCCAATAAGACTAAATGAGTATGCCGTAAATAATTCGGCTTTTTTCCTCAGTAAGTAATGCCTGTTGGGTAATAAGCGTACCAACATCATCTGTAATGTCATGCAGTTATCAGAGACTGACGAAAGTCTGGGCCTGTAAATCCCTCTACCTTCACGAGAGAAGGTTTGTCTTAGGATTTTTTCAACTGATCGGTTGAATTTCCGTCGATAGTCTTTGCACAGAAGTTCACTATTTCAACTTGAGGGGTACTTCCAAGTGCACACAAAGGCTAGAGAAAATTCAGAGAAATTGTATTTGGCGGAAATTTAGTAGCAAAAAGTAGTTATACAGAAGAAAAGTATACCATGGATATGAGGATTGCAGAGTAATTGTATCTGCGCCGGTAAGAACTATGTTGAGTTGTGTCATCAATATTGAGCAATTAGTTTTGTGTCTGAAGGACTTCAGTCAGTCTAAGTGCACATCACACGTGAAGATAAGCAAGTGGAAGTACCGCAAGATTACCAGCACACAAATGTGTGTGCCAGCTGCGGGGAAATTACTAGGTTTTCCAGGTGCAAGTGAAAGAGAACAGATGATTTTAGCATTGAAAGTCTGTCATAACTTCTAGGATTTGAAATAAGGTGGTAATGTGAAAGTCAGCCAATTATTTTGCGACTAAAGCTCCTCTTACTAACCGCTATTGTATTATCTCAAATCCACCGGTTTACTGAAGCAACTAAGTAACCTGAAGTTGCGTGATTTTGGACAATCAGTAGTAAAACTACTTAAATTCCATAAGTCAAAGAGCATTAATGTACACTGATGGCAATATTTCCACACATTTATAGTTTGCTGCATAAAATGCTTTGTTTGGGTTTATGGATCTGGTTAGTAGGAGGCATTGGACTTGTTTTATTTGTTGTCTACGCAATTTATTTGTTCAGTAAATTAGTAAAGTATGTTAATCCCTACCTAATTGTTCACAGTTCAGACAATCAAAAACGACGTCTGGCATAAGTGTAAAAATGTAATATCTTAAATTAAGCTAGTTGATTTCCTGATGATGTTGCCGAACTCATTTAGCACGGTATGAACGCACTTATAAGCTACTTTAGTCGAGTAAAATAGTAAAATTATGTGATTAGTCCATGCCATACAACCATCCTTGAAACCACAATCTCAATGAAAATCGTCTTGTAGAGCGGTCTGTTCAACTACTGAACATCTTGTTTGTGTGGTTTTGATCCCTGTCACCAAGTCCCTCGAACTCTTCCCAACCCATTCAGTAACGTCTTGGACATTACTAACATGAGGGGAAGTAGCGTAATACTAAGACAATCGTAGTTGTATGTGCCTGGTTCAAGTTTGTCGTTTCATGTTACTGTAATAACTCCTGATCTATTTTTGGAGAGATTATTGTAAGTGATTCTCCTATGTTCACCTTTTTCACCTCGGAGGCACAATTGGGGAGAATCACATACTTCAAATCCGTAAGAAGTAACTGGTTAGTGTGATTTAGTATCTGTCATCTGATCTGTTTGCTTCAGTTCTCTTGATTAGTAAAGAATTGGGTTGGAAGAGTTAGGGGTAATCAAACCGAAACCATGGTGTCAGTCCATGAAGTATTCGGCAGTTGGTTTGGACCACGTAGGGAAGTTTGGTTGTCTGTTTAGATTCTCCTGGGTGAAAACCATAACCTGGAGACTACTAATGATATAACTGTAAATCGTTATCAGTGGCGCAGATATATTCACCCTTTGTGATCACCCATTAGTATTGAACTCACATGTTTTTTTTCGCATTGCTGTTCTTCCGTACGTTTCTGCCCATTGTGTTTCTTGATGTTCGATGGTTAGAGACAATTTGCATGATGGTTTCTTTTGAATTTCTTTTTTCCTTTTTCTCTGTGTACTCTGCAGGGTGTAGCACATTCGAGTGCTGCACCTCTGTGCAACGTTCTACGTTGACTCAGTCATTCTCTTGATTTCCCTTTAATACTAAAGCTCCTTTAAAAAGTTATCCCCGGTCATTGTGCTGTTACGTCAGTGAAAACTACAATATTTTCTTCCTAGTTGCGTAAAGATTTATTACCTCTAGCATTTTAAAACTATTTTTGTCAAAGAATTATTGTTATTTATACATTTTAAACGAAACTTTTGTATGGGTACGGAGAATGAAACAGGTGAGCACATTTATCCAGTAAATTGCAATGAGCATTCGTCACTTCACATCATTTCCATTGTTAAAAGACACGAAGTAACGTTCGCCTTAAATTTCATTCCGATACTACATTTGGCGTCTCAAGCTACAAAGTTTCGTGACCTCTTACTCCACCCAAGAAGTCATGATTTACCAACATTTACCGACCCATCATAATTATTGTCCATTGTATAGCACCACATCATATCCTAACTTACTGATTTTGTCAGTTGGTTCCAGTGCTAACGAACAGTGGTTTGAAAGCCCGTGTCTTGGTATGTGTAGGAAGTGTCTAGATCATTGAATATCTTCGTTTGTTGAATGACCACCTTCATGTTCGAACCGGCTGTCTTAACACTGGATCTTACAGCTCCTACTGGGTGTAATGATGGTGTGCATGGTCCCCGCCGATCCTTTGCCAAGTACCACACAAAAAGTAACCACACAGGGACGTCCTTAGCCCGACTTTTATGGTAGTGCAAGGGGTAACCTAAATTTATGCAACTGAGAGTGCCATCTGCCACATCAGCACTTACACGAAACATACTCATTTTTCCGCATGCTACATCGTGTTCGTTTACAGACTCCTACCACTTAAATAGCTACTTCGCACTAGTACAGTGAGAGATGAATGCTGTTCGGTCCCTTATCTCTGACTGATAAAATGGAATTTGTAGAATCTTTGGCGCTGCACATTATTTGTGTGGTCAAGGTCGGATGCTGTGGTTATCAGACTTACATCATGACCACGCGCAGGCTTCAGAGTGCTACCAAAGATAGAGTTAGAAAAAAACTAATTGGGTAGCCCCTCCTACCCCCATTACTGGTTAACAGTGATCGGTACTGGTTTCACATCGTCTTGTTTTGAACTTTCGAAATGTTGACAAACTGCTCGGAAACACTCCTTACCAACACACGACCCAATGAACAATCCTGTCAAACGGGTTATTTTTTCTCTCATCTCACTGAGACCTGTATGCTGAAATAGGCATTGTTTCTGAGTTTCGTTCAGGACACACTTGTGTTATTACCACCGCAAAATGTGCCATGTGAAATAATAGGCCAGTTAAACTTTTTAGACAGTGTCTCGGGTATTAATTAGCTCACTGCTGATCCTCATTAATCCACAAAGCCGTTGTTTTATTTTATGGGTAAGAGCCATACACAGATTAGTGTACGTATTACTCGCGGGAATCGACCAATGTGGCTAGAAAGCACTAGTAGCTCGTATATTCAGTGATTATTTGTGGGATGCTATTCTAATCTGTGACAGTATTTCCAGATCTCGTGACAAGAGCTGTGTCTAATACCAGTTTCAAGCAGATAGATCTTGCTTTAGGTTGCGAAATGTTTATACATGGTTGATCACATTAAAGGTTATCATTACCTCAGTATGCATAAAATTGCCTGCTCATTTAGCAAGCACCAGTATAACTAAAGAGGAGATACAAGTCAAGCATAGTTACAAGCCATAAAAATATAACTCAATGAGTCTTGTGATTATTTTATGGTAGTTTTCTATCACTCACCCATGCTGCGCTTACCTGTGTCACATTTTTGATATTCCAGTTACGGACTTTTAAATATTCGTAGTATGGTTACGTGGTTTTCATAAAAATAACTTCATTACCACGTAAACTTTTTCATATATAATCATCGACCTCACCGAAATAGGTTGGTGGGAAATATGCAATGGCACGATGACATTAAGTGTATTTAAATATAGCAAGCTGAATCGCCTTTATAGTTAATACCATAAGTCAATAAATTATTTAAAAATCTGACTAGGAACAAGAGAGTATTTGGTTCGTTTTTAATAAGATTGGAACTTCTTAGGCATCAAAAAGGCATGAACATTACGTTATACCCAAAATGGTGAAATGTGACAGTTTATTTTCTCTGTTCCCACTTTTGACTTTCTAGGTATACCAGAAACTGATGCTTCTTTCGAGGGCAAAAACTTGGCACTATCCCATCTTGATGACGTCATTGATTCTGTTGTTTCTGAAGCCATCGAATACGCTGATAAACCCCCTGAGGAGAGAACACTTCCTAAATTAATCCGGAAGGCTCCTCCTCCACCTCGTGTTCGTCCCTCTTTAAATATGACCGACTTCAATCAGGCTCGCAATTTCGCTACACCAAATGGTTTAAATCAAATGCCATTCCTAGCTGCTGGTGGTGGTAATCAATTCCAGCAAAAGCTAAATGAACAATTCCCGACAATGGTACCGTTTAATTCTGGTCAAGTGACAACGGCTGCTCAGCAGCAATTATTAATGCAGTATAATGGACAATATCCAGCTCAACAACAGCAACAACAACGTCAGCAACAGCAGCAGCAACAACAACAACAGCAGTACTCACAAGCTGCACATTTTCAAGCCTTACAGAATCAACAAGCTCAATATCAAGCAGTTAATGCGGCAGCCCTAGCGCAAATGCAACAACTGCAACGTCAACAAATGCAGGTATGTTGGAATATTCTCTATATATTACTGAGTGTTTACTTATTTGGATTGTATATTTTGCACTCTTGCCTTGCTCAAACTTGCATGAACTGAAGTAGATGAAGGGGAATTCAAACTTGTTAGCCACATCTCCACTGTGAGGAATGTCTCTATCTTCCATTCTTTTTGTGTTCCAAGTGGAACACGTGGTTTCAAGCATGAGCTTTTAAGTTTCACTAGCGGTGTTTGTATTTTACGAAGATGATGAATATATAGCTGCATCTATATATTTCTGAATTTCATAATGGCTATTATAAAGCGCTAATAGGTCAATTTGTAGAGTAGTAACGACTAGAGAGATGATTGCCTGGTTTTGTTATGCTGCAGTATGCAGTAAGGGGTTTTACTTTTGATCCCAACATTTTTCACTGATGAAAAGCTAAACGAAGTATAAGTGTTCACTGGGGATGGTTATTCTACTAGAGAGGCAGACAACTTTAACTCAACTTTAGGTTTTGTAGGTTTGCGATTGGATTGATTTTCTGGGGGTAAAGTCTCTGGTCACACGCTATCAATCTTTCTTCTTTTCTCAAGCTTACGACTGGGACTAGTAAACTAAGCTGCTGACTTTTATCAGTGGCTGCACCCTTCGTTGGTTCCATGCTGAAGATCAGATGACCAGTGAGAAAGGACACGAAGCAAGGAACTCTAATAGGCAATGAACCAACGAAGAGCCTGTTGTCGAACAGATATTGCAAAGAAAATGGAGATGGGTAGGAAACATGCTAAGGAGACCACTGAATGACACCACGCCCCATGATATCTAGTGGGAGATGACCAGTTGAGTTTGGTTGCGAGGGTGACATGTAGGAGGATTGTGTGAAGAACAGATGAGAGAGCTTATGGGGGTGGCAGCTATAAATAGGATTGTGGAGAACAGGACAAAATGGAGTCGGAACTCAAGGAAATAGTAATAGCTTTGTAGGCTTATTTGTGGTTCTAGCACGGGAACATGATGCAACTCGATTACTCCATACAAGTGTTTACACATCAAGCAAGCTATGAATAACGCACTACATATCTGGTCTTGTCTCTCAGGTTATTCAGGGTCATACAAGTCTAGTGTGAGATTTATATGGTGTATGCTTAAATCTTCGTGTTATGACATAATAATACGCCGCCTTGAACGGATATCGGATGTGTTGTACAGTACACTTCATACCCCCAATGCTTAAGTTATAAGGCTTTTTGTTTATGAAGTTTTTAAATAAGAAAAAAAAGCTATGGTAAGATATATTTGCTAGGCTGCACTTCTCAAAATTCTACATCACAAACCCTATCCAAACAAACAAACTATCCAACTAACTAACTAACAGGCCTACACTACTACTACTACTGCTAGCGTTTTTTTTTCAAACCCTTAAGCGCATTGACTGTTTGTCAGTCTTTGTTTTCCTCACTCCTTCCCCACCCTCATCCACCACCCATCATCATCATCATCCTCTATGTTTCGTTTTACAGTCAGACCATGTTTTCCATTAGTCATATAGGGCAGGGTAGAAAATTTTTTTATCGTGGAGGTTAATACTATGTATGTGAGTGACATACAAACACAACGACAACAACGAAAACACATATACAGCATTATAGAGAAAATCGTATATATATATATATACATATGGATGTATATATGTGGGCGTGACTGGCACTATCGATATTTTGGCCTTGACCAGAAAAATATAAAGGTATAATGCAGTCTATAATTTTCTGTCTGCATGTCTAACCTTGTCAGCTAATTTTTCAAAATTTGCCTGTCGGTCCACACACATATAGAGAGAGAGATGTGATAGAGAGATAAATCGTTTTTGTTGTATTATATGGCTTAAGCAAGCTGTGTTGTCTTGTCAAAGGCATAAAAAGTAGTATAGTAGTTATATGTAAATTGAATGCCAACTAAGGCGACTATTTCCACTATTTGCTTGCCTTTCATCCACTAGAGGATATCCCAGCATCATCGCAACCGCCAACACAAACACACTACCGTTAGATTGACTATTTTCGGTTTATGAAGTTAGGAAAGTATCGTGAGTAAAACTAAGCTTTTAATTATCAATGGAAATGCGGTAATTTTAACCGCATGGTTCGTTGGTAAAATTCACTTCTACAATGAGTCAACCGATATTACCACGTTAAATTATAGGCAAAATAGATTCGTCAGATTCGGTTTCTAGTTGGAACAGCAATGCTCACCACTATTCTGTTGCATGTTTCATTTCGTCGTCCAGTTCAAATCGATTTTTGATTTCATTTAGAGAAGTAGTCCACTTGCTGGTGGTTGGTCTACACTCTGCTACTAAGACCGTGAATCACAGTTAGTTGTGAGAATTGGGTTTGTAGGGATTTAGTGGAATCATCGCCTCGACTAATTGGGTTCAATGTTATCAATTTAGTCAGTACAGTTGCTGTTTGACATTTGCTTAACTTGTAGCATCTACATGGGCAATGCCTTTTCAGGCACATAATGTGTTTGGATGGAGGATTTCATCATGAGCTGACATCAGTTAGAGAACCACTGTAAAACCTGGGAGTACTTGGCAGCTGTTTCGTCCTAGTTTGGGACTCTTCATCAGCACGGACCCACATAATGTGTTACAGTTATTTCTCATATCAGATTATAGAAATGGTAAAATTAGGTCAGATTTTATGTTACTGTAGCGTTGTATACTTTTTTAGTGGTGTCACAGTAGGAGCAGTAGTGCTTAAGTGTTAGGTATTCATTTTCGGCGAAATTGGCGAAGGGGTTATAGAGATGTTAATAAATACAGATTGTGAGTGAATTTGTTAAGGCGCATGACTGACTGATTGACTGGTTTCAACATGGGACTTTGCACAGAAATGCTGCAACAGTCCGAGTTGCTACACGCACTCCATGGTAGCACACAAAAGAAGACAAACGAAGGGGACAGATTCAATAAACGATAATTAAATAGGAATGTGAGAGAAAAGAATAGGATTTAGTTGATATGGATAATCACAAAAGGTGAACAGTCCTGAGCCATATGACCAATAGTCGCCAGTTGTTGGTTCATCATAGAATCCCTACAACCCCAACTAGGCAGCCCCACATTAGCTAGCTCAAAATAACTGTCGAAGATTTTGTGGACTTACTTCATGTTTTGGTTTGACCACCACTAGTTCTTTTCCAACCTGATCCATCCTATGTCAGCTAACACTGCCCATCGAGAAAGGTGATGGCTAGGCATACGTAACACATGTCCTAACCATCTCAATCGGCGTGATTCCACAGTCTCGCCGTCTGACTTCATATACTTACCTAATTACTCGAAGCCTAACTTCAATATTACTTACCCTACTATACTGCCTTACACGAATGATAGAACGCAGATATCTATAATCAAGGACAGCTGGACTTTTAATGCGTTTCATATCCATAAGAGAGGACAAAGTGAACAGTTGTGCAATACACACGTCCTTTGATTGATAGCCAGATGTCAAGTCTGCACCAGAGGTGACTTAAGTTGGGAAATACCTTAATGAGCCTTTGATATGCGTGATGAGATTCAGTCAGCAACAGTCTGTTGGGGTTAGTGCAACTTCTCAAGTAAGTGATGTGGTCAACATGCTCAACCATTTCAATATCTATCTACAAACTGGGACTTTGTGCAGTCCTGTCATGTAGCATTATCTGACATTTGACAGGAGTAGTTGAAATGGGTGTTGTACTATGTCTGTGTCTGTCGCTTTATCATGTAAATGAGATCGATTTAAATATTCTAGTTGTACCTGATTTAAATTCAAAGATATCTCAAAATGAAACAAACCAACCTCATCACTATTCACTTTTCCATTGCCATCAACCGTTATATTTATATAAGTGAGCATGCTAGGTATTTCAAAGTGGACGTCTGTTTGTTAATACGGATGTGTTCACTAGATTTCTGTGTCACATTGGTGTCTAAACGCTCGACTTCCGACCAGCAGGTCACAAATCCAAACCCAACTTCAACAACCAAGGTTTCAGCAGCCAGTTAGTGTATCACTAGCCCTCGTGGCATAGGCGTTGTACGTTGACAACTGTGCATGGAATTGCATATGATTGCTGAGTAGTAACATTTCTTTGGATTTCTGTATCGAATTTCAGTTTCTAAATGAAACGAAAACTCTTGCTTTCGTCAATTGACAAAAAGAAAACAACTTATTTTTATATTGTTAGCATGAATAATATTCATTCTTTTACTTTCCTCTCCATACAGCGTCAACAGCAACAACAACAGCAGCAGCAACAACAACAACAAATGTCTACTCCAAATCGTCACATGTTGTATTCAGCGTCTGGATCACCTCCTATCAGTCCAGCGGTGGTAAATAATTCTCCTGGTGCTCAACAACAACAACAGCAGCAACAACAAGCTCTAGCTTCAGCACAACAACAGTTACATCAGTTGTATGCAGCGGCTCATCAGTTGCCTGGTCAGTATTTCTTTCTTTTTTTCCCTCGGTATAAATATCTACTCATATAGAGCTAGGAAAAGTTGAGAACTACATACAATTTCGAGAGTCGCAAGATCGTCATTTTTATGCTGAGTGGTATATTTGTTTTCCTCTGAGTAGTAGTGACCCATTAGCTAAGTCACGGGTTCAAGTCCCGATATACCTACTTCAGCCTTGAGAAACGGGGTGGTGCCACCAACCCTGAACACAATAAGTGTGACTTACTCTGATGCGTAGGTATAGCCTGTTTTCTCGTATTTTCACTTTGGCGATACTAGTTGATATAATTTCTGTACATTACTACTTTCATAGTCGCATGAGACAGCGACAGACAAAGTCATTCCCCTAGATCTATATTTTCTGCACACACTAGATGGGCACCTGCATAACAGACAGTTCAAAATGCTAAGGAATTATGAAAGCAGCATTAAAAGATGCTTGATTACCGAGACACTAACCCCCACGAAATCAAGTGATCTCTTAGGATAAACGATTCAGATTTGAGTTCCTGATCTGTTTGTCATTCTTGCGTTAATCTAATTCACGTTCTGTGCATATTAGTGTCATATATCAGCAATATGAAGACATTTCAACAGGTTAGTTATGTTATCCTCAAGAGTTAATTCGTAGAGATTAGGTTTGTTTTAAGTTTGGTCATGCATTGATGTCATTTAGAAAAGCAGTAAAAATTAGGGGTTTCGACCTAATTTGGAACACACCAGTAGTACGCACCCATGACTCCGACGTGAGATCGAGTCTAAGTTAAGAGGCCAACCTTGTTGATCATCTAGGTCACTGGGCGAGAATGCAATGACTCATAAACTCTAACTTCTTTCACTCGTCACCATCGCCAATCGATATCATTGACTGGTGATGAACCCCACCAGTAGTCGCAAGTTCTCACTTAGACTGCAGACAACTTCGTGAGTTCTACACTAATTTACGAGCGTTGCTTTGCAGGGATTTGATTGATTTCCAATTTGATCACAGAATGATGTCATTTAGAGAAGTATTGAGAACTAGGCTGTCCTGGACAACTGTTTCATCCTAGTTCGCTACACAATTCAGTAGTATACACGACCAACGACCCCACCGGGGATCGAACCCAAGACCTTCTAGTAATGATGTGGCCAAGGTCACTAACTATTCAGTCACTTAAGCTTTTAGTGAAAACAATAGACAAATGTAGTTGTATGACATTGTAAAATTGAATTCTTTTATTTATCAAATATTATTATTGATTTAGGCATGATGCAAACTTTCCCTCCAAATCAAGTTCAACAACCAAATATTCAACAAAGTATACAAAGTCAACAACCTCAAGTACAACAACAACAACAGCAAGTATGCAATCAACGTGTATGGACAAATGCTGAACAACTACAAGCAGCTCAACAACAACAGTTAGCCGTCGCAGCGGCTGCTGCAGCAGCAGCATTCAATCCCAACTCAGTTCAACAACAATACATGCAACAACAACAACAGCAACAGCCTTCACCCCAACAACAAGCAGCTCAACGTATGACAAACGATTTTCAAGCCTATGCTTATCAACAGTAAACTTTGTAAACATATATTTATATTATAATAAAGAGTTACACAAACCTCTTTTATCAATCCTCTCCTGTCTCTCTCTCTCTCGCTCGTTCTCTCCATCTCTCACTACACACATATACCTAGTATTCTTTATTGCGTGTGTGTGTGCTGTTTTACTATACATATTATGTATTTTTCAATCTTTTATAAATTGATTTCACTCACGCATTTGCCTGTATGTTGGTTTCATCCACTACAAAATTGCAATTATACATACATATATATATAATAATATAATAAGTGCGAATCCTGCTCCCCTGAACACTTTCTGGCCTGTCAACAGCTGCCTTCTTCGGTAGGTATGTTTTATTTCGTGTGTCTCTTATCTCCCTCCGTCTCCGCCTCTCTCTCTCTCCATAATCTAGTGATGATGAGATCTTATCTTCTTTTCTCTTGACAAACAAACATAGAAACAAAATCTTTGATTTTGTGCCTTGTTGCATTTTATCTTCTGTCTTTTTGCCCCCCCTCTCTCTCTCTTTCTCCTTCTCCTTTGTTTGAATCTCGTATCACCACTACATTGTTTGTTTTGCTTGCGAAGTCCTCCTGTCTCTCTCTCGTGTATTATAGCCCGTCGTCTGTCCTTCTTGTGACTCTAGCCTCCTCCTCCTCTTCCTACTAGCACATCTGATGAGTATATATCATATATATACGTGTGTGTACACAAAATACATATATACTCGACTCCACATTCAAATCCATCACAATATGCGCATTTACATAATTTTTATTTTGTGTTCTGCTGATGAAGACTTTTTAAGAAAATTTCCTCGGGAACAAACCACTTTTTTGTAATGTTTGTGTGTGTGTGTTGCATGGACATGAGTCGACGCCCCTGTGTACTACGTTTCATAACCCCCTATTGGTCTGTCTATTCTACGTTTTTAATCTTTTCTATCGACACTGTGTAAATTTTATGACATTCCATGTGTGTGTTTGTTTTTATTGGTAGGTCTAATAATATATTACTTCAAGTCGACATTTTTAATAAAACCTATTTTACATCCATGTTTATTAATTATTATTATTATTATCGATAACTGAGCATTGCTTAGAGTTGTGGGAACCCCGAGGAGTGAAAGGTCAGGTTCCGACAATCCTGTCTTTTTTCCTTACTCGTGTGTGTGTGTATGTATGTTCATATCGTTCATATTCTCTTATACCTGATTATGATTTTGAATATGACTTGGTAACTACTACGGATACCACTAATAATGATAATAATAATAATGATGATCCTTTTCTTTTGTTTTCTTTGTAATTTTTCTCACAAAAAAACTCTCATTTACTTTGTTTGTTTATAGGACAATCATCATTTTTTTTTAAATCCCTTCTACCCGAAGTCGGATACCACCACCTTTTTCTCTCTCATGTATTTTCCATATTTTTAGTCTCGTCGTTTCAATTAAATAGTGAACTTCATCTGAAATGAGAGTAGTGTAGTGGTTGATGGTGGTGGTGGTGGGGGGTACACACACCCCCTACATCTCATTTTCTTTGATAAATCAAATTCTCATTGTGTTTTTTTATCCCTCTTTTTTCTTATTGTTATCACCACTATCACCAACCAACCAACCACTACACACAACACTATGCATATATATACATATACTAACTATATGTATGAATACAAGATTGCTATTCATTCATTGCTAATCGTCATCATCATTATCATCATGATTACATTGAAATTTGTGTGGTGTGACCGACTGACTGATTGGCTGTCTCTCGCGTGTGCGCGAGATGTGTGTGTGCCACACCTTCTTGGCTAGTTTCTATCTTGACCGTTAGGATGACGACACTAATTGTGGGGGGTATTTTTTACTACCTATCAGGATAATCTAATTGTTGCTATTACTACTACTACTACTACTATTATTATTATTATACTTATTATCATAATCTATCTCTTCTGTATTTTACTTATTGTGTAATTCATGTCAAAACAAGACAATGTTCATACCTAGATATGAGTTCTTTTTTCTCCTATCTCATGGGGGGGGGGGGCGGATCATGATAAATTACGACTCTGGTTGTTAACGGTGTTTGTAGAGACTACTAAATAATGCTACTTATGCCTGTACCATTTGTGGGTTTGCCAAGATGTTGGTAGGTTAGCGTTGTGGTTCGAACCCGTCGGAGGTAAAACGTCTAGGCCAATGGACTACGACTGACTCCGTATGGAATTGTTAGCGTAACTGTAATTTACGTGATCTTCTGGAGATTTTCGGTAGGAGCGACAAATACGTCAACCAACTGTCAATTTATGCAGTATGTCAGGCTGATTTTGAGGTAGAAAATTTTTTAAAACAGTAGAGGAGAGTGTAACGGCAGTTGCAGATAACCTACATTACCAACTGTCAGATAGAGTTTGTCGTCTCCCTGTGTGTGTCCGCCCTTCCCACAGTCGTAGAAACTATGATTAGTCCAATTGAACACAGCGAGAACGACAAATATGCCAGGATAATATGAGCTCATCTTTTATTGTTTTGAGGATTCTTTTCAACTGGCTACAACTTGAACAATACAAAAACATTAATTACATTGAAGATTTGAACGTACTTTTTTTCCACGATGACAAGGAGCAATTGATAAGAACTAAGAGTGACATAAGTCTGGAATGATGCAAGTTGTTAAATTATGAAGAGTTAGAAGAATTCACTATTTATAGGATAATTAGACGAATATGCCTGGAAACGAAGAGAGTTCGAAATTGTTTTCCGCGTGGAAATAAAGTTTAACTAGAAAGAGTATAGCGATACAATAGTTTAAGTAACTACAGAAAATATATTTCTAAAAAGTTACGGAAAATTAGGTGGGGTGAGTAGTGTTTGAATGAAACCATAGAATTCTCTACAGAAGATTTAGGAGAAGATTGTATACTTTGTTATGTAAGTTAACTCACCAAGGTAGGGCAAGATTCACCACCATCTCTCTCTGTATACATAGATTTGGCTTGAAACGTTTAATGGAGATTACCTTGTGGTGAAACCTGGCTGCTAGCCAAAGTTGGTAGACAGTAATTCACGTCAATGTTTATGTCCCCAATATTGGTGGTGAGAAAATGAGAACAAAGGCTTTGCGTAGGCGGATACAGTTAGCATATGGATGATCTGACACAGCCGCAAAGAGATGCAAGGTTAACTCTCTGTGAGAAACAACCAATCAAAAGACTATTTTCTACTAACAATAATGTAAATTGAAATCTATAAATATGTGTTGATTTTCCTTAATAAACGATCTGTTGCCTGGTCATTGTCTTCTCTTGTTACAACCTTAGCAAAAGGGTAGCAGGCTAGGTTTCTTTCTCATGTTGATTATTTTGAACGCCTACAGATTGCTCACAATATGACTAGTGTTCAATACATGGCCCAAAATCTCACTGTTTCATGCCTATGAACCCTTAAGTCTCACGGTTCTTTGATCAGTCACCGAAAAGTAAGTAGTATCCTTTTGTCCGGTATTTCAGTAGTAACTGTTATAGCTATCGACTCTGTTCACATTACTAATTTGTTCAAGATGATGCTTATCACAACGGGATCAAGTGACGTAGATTCGAAATTCAGATGGATGGTTGCTTTCTTTGGATTTCTTATAAGTTCCCATTGATATATGCCTAGTAGCATGACATACTCGTCGATGTCAACGATCAAAACATGCTTGTGAACGATGCGTTTAGTTCGGAATTATTTGATAGAAAACATTACAAAAAGGTTTCTTGCATTTCCAGTGCTAATAAAACCCGTGATGTTTCAAACGAAACTTAGGAATCATATCTGCAAATAAACTTGCGATCTGCATTTTACAATGCTGTTTCCTTTGGAAATCGAAAATATTCAGATGAGACAATATGTGATCTAATTGATATCGTGAATAGTGATCAACGAAACAGACATAAGTGCATGACTCCATATACTACTGATTGATTGAAATGAGTAATTGGATACTACTCACACCAACCAATAGTACTTGCTAACCACCCAGATCATCGAAATGATCTAAACGCTGGATGTCCCTTTTGATCATTTGGGGCAGTGCTCACCATCAGTGTATACCCGGCTAAACTCAGCTCAGAAAACTGAATCATTTGAAACTACACGAATTATCGGCTAGGTACTAAGGTGAACCTGTAATACGTTATGTCGAATTCGCAATTTTTATCAGATGTGAGCTGCTTGATACCATGAATGGAAATCAAGAAAGCACAAGTGAATGCATACAACTGATTGATTGGCATATAACTCAGAAACTCCTCCGGCATTGCAGAGTGATCGAAAGTAAGGAATTCTATAGAATGCTCAGAATTCGAGTTTTGATATTCGGTAGTAAATATTTCACCATGTTGAGTAATCTTGACAGTATGCCTTGTAGAAATCAATTAAATAGTAGAAGTACATTTATTCAAGATGTTCCGGACCTTTAATTTGACAAGATTGTAGTTGAAGGTGATTCGGTGAGCAGATATCCTATACGAATGTTTATATAATTGAAAATACTTTAATCCTTTATACAATAAGTCTACAAGGTTTTCTAGATTGTTATTATTTCCTTAGCTCCCGAGTAGAACTTAAGGCTGTCATCTCCTCCGTGTCACCATTTGACCTACCTCAATTCACTTTTCCCAATTTTCGTCCCACTCTAGAGTCCGTTTGATGCATGATGTCATCATCTGTCTCTTTACCATCTGTACGATCCATCTCCATTTCTTTCGGCGTATTTCTTGTACGAAGTTCCAGACTGATTCGTTACCTGTCAGATTTCCTTGTTCTTAATCCTATCTGGCTGGCCACTGACTGATCCTCAGTATGGAACCAATGAGGGCAGCTGTCGATAAAAGTCTGCAGTGGCCTGTTGGAGATACCTTTGGTTGGTAACACGCGTTCCAAGTCACTGAACCACAAAGGAACACTGACTAGATTGACTGTAGTGTTGAAAATCCAGACTGATTTCGCAGCAATGAAGATTTATCTTGCTTATTCGATCCTCGTTTTGACATCATCCGAACCACCTGTAGTATATATATATATATATGATTCTGGTACTATATTTTTGAGCTTCTCTAAATCGCTATCTATTATTTAGATTTACAAAACTTAATATTCTTTATTCTGGGTTAGAAATATAATCGATCATTTTTTTTGAATAATGTATCTAATGCACCTATTACAGAATATTTGTGTCTCACAAAGTGTTGATGACAAGAATTAGATTGTAATTCAGTTAATGTTTTCGGTTAATATATAATTTTATGTATTTGATATATATTTCAACTAAGTGAATCTCTCTTTAATCACCGCTTTATAAAATGAAATCTTTGCTATGGATTGCAGTCTTGAAGAATTTGTACATTTCCCGGTGCAAACTATTTAAATGAAGATGAAACACAATATCCAAGCGTCCATACCATGTTGTGATTGTCGTCCGATCACCGAAGTTAAGCGATGTTGAACCGGGTTAGTATCTGCTCACCAGCCACGCCTCACGCTGTCCAGATTTGATTCCTCGCCGACGCACTCCTAAATCTTAATCGGCCGGTGGTAAGCCAACCAACGGGGTGTGAGGCTAGCAGCCCTCCTCCCTCCCAGTAAAAAAAACACCGTTGCTTAAACTTCAGAGATCAAGCTTGAAGCCCTATGTTCGCCTCTCAAAGTGAGTGAATGAAGAAAAACATATGCAAGCAAGTAGTTTTTACAGACACTATAGTCTATTTTTTTTTTTTTTTTTTTGGTTGGAGGATTTCATCATGAGCTGACATCAGTTAGAGAACCACTGGAAAAACAGCGAGGTGTACTGGACAGCTGTTTCGTTCTAGTTTGTGACTCTTCATCATTACGCACCCATCGGGGTTCGAAGAGTGCCAAACTAGGACGAAACAGCTGTCCAGTACTCCCAGGTTTTCCATTGAAAACGCCTGTGTTTCTAATCAAAACATGATCTTACTAATGTGATCAC